GGATAACAGTCCGAATAATGTAAAGAAACATTGTTGTCTCCTGTTGGTAGATTCATTTGGGATGTGGTATGGAATGCTTAAATGATCAGTACCTAATCTCATCACATCTGTGCTTGTCAGTGTACAGAGGAAAAATTAAAACAGACTGGGGTTCTCATTTCCTCCTTGTTGATGACGTCAGATATGTTTCAGTATTGGCGTGTCCTTGCAAGAAATCTAGGATTTTCTGGACTGATAAAGTTCTTCTATTAGATCGATGCATTCAGTGGATTCACAGCCTAGAAGGCGGTTTATAAAGGATGCAGTTATATGCTGCAATGAGGTCAACATAGCAGGTATACAATTTCCTATAAGAGAGGTATGCAATTTCCTGGAGTTGTTTGATGACAGACATGCCATCATTATATCCTTTAGCAGAACAAAAACCAAACTAATGAGCTAAATTGGCACACATGTACACATTTAGGCTGCAAAAATTAATTCAAAGATGTTTTATTGAAATTGATGAGGTTTATCCATACTTTTTTTCTTACAGTTTTCCATTTTGCATATTAGCATTTATCTGTTATTGATTTTATGGATAAACTAACCAAAATTCATTACCTTTGTACTTTCAACCGTCACTGGTCAGCATTAACAATGTTAATGTTTTCAGTTCTTCTTTGTGTGGCATGTCCTTTCAGGACATAGGTTAGTATGGTTCTCCACAGTTTCCTGTTCTTTGTCGCTATTAAAAAATTTTTATCTTTTTGTTATTTCTCCTAAACCCTAGACTATTTACATACTAAACTCTGTTCCATCATCCATTTCCTCAAGCTCACTATGGTATTTTCCTCTATCCCTCTTGTTTTTAATCTTTCCTGTGAGTATCAGATTTTCCAAGCCCTCTTTCCTCATGTGCTCTAGAAATTTCAACTGTTTCTTCCTGATGTCAAGTATAAGTTCCTTTTTGTTTCCATTTTTTCTAAAACATTGTCGATGCTCACATATTTGGTTAATTTTCATTTTTAGCTAGTCTGATGCCAAGCAGACCTTATTTACAGTTTTTGGGAGTGATTGCATTATCTGGCATGATCAACAATCTGAACAAGGCTAGTACACTCAATCCCTCAGTCATAATGACTTGTGATTTCATGCTTGTTATGTATATATATATATATATATATATATATATATATATATATATATATATATATATATATCGTCCGTTTTATGTAGACAGAGAGAACTCAGACACAAATTAGAATTGTTTGGTGAATCATGACTCATTCTGGATGACCTTTTTTTTTTCTTTTTGTTCTATTTCTTTCTTCCCTCCCCACCTTCCTTCTTTTAAGATCTTATTTAAAGAAACTATCCCTTCGGTAATTTAATTTACAATTTATTTACTTCTAACGAAGTGTCGGATGAAAGACACCTTAAGTTATCTTTATTTTATCAGATTTTAATCAAGATTATATTTATTGTAATTGATGTTAATCATTAAATATTATATTATGATCCCTATTTTAAAACTTGTTTTACATATATATATATATATATATATATATATATATATATAATATTTTTCCACTTTGTCCATAGATTTTCCTAAAATTGTTTTTGATGTATAAAAATTTATAGATCGTTTTCCTATACATATACACATATATATATATATATATATATATATATATATATATATATATATATTTGTGTATTTAGGCAGCAAATTCTCTTTTAGACATGTCTGATTGAATAAATGACAAACATTGTCTGCCTATTTTTATCATAATCCTTTCATATTCATGAATATTTTTCTATATATTATAATTAAATAAGTTACAGTGCATTTCTTGCCTTATTTAATTGTAATAGATGAAAAAATATTCATGAATATGAAAGGATTTTAACAAAAATAAACAGACATAATGTTTGTAATTTATTCAGTCATATATATATATATATATATATATATATATATATATATAGTAGACCAAAAAATTCAAAATTTCCTCATATGGGGTAAGTTTTTGTCTGTTCAAATTGGTCTATATCTCATATGAGGTAGTTTTGAATTTTTTGGTTTTCTACTATTTATTTGCTCAGTATAATAAATACATTGAGCTCCTTTTGTGGATCAGTTTTAATATTTTATATTACTAGGATCCACTTGGTTTATATACCAATGGATTTATTACCTTTAATATATATATATATATATAATATGTACAGCTAGTTAATTTGTCTTTCTTTCTTTTTATAGGTAAGTACAAATGACCCATTTCTGGTGAAAGCTTCCATCCCTCTTGACTGTTTTCAATGAGCCAACACTTAACACTGAAACTGGTAAGCAATTTGTGCCAACATAATTGATTCTATTGATCAACTCTGATTTTCTCTTCTACTTTATTAATAATTTTTTCAAATTTAACATAAAATTATTGTGGCATTTGGTTTGAGGGAGACTTGTTAGGTTCATGTAAAAATAAATATTCATTTAGTTTTGTAAAGTAAAATTTAGCAAATGAGTTTATGATTATGTTTTTCATTTAGAGTTAATTCACCCTGCATGTACTTCAGTGATGTTTAAGAAATAATTATTACATTTTAATCCTATGCAGTATTCATTACTAATGTCAAATTTCAATGTTAATCAAATATTTTCAGTTGGCCTTGAAAAAAAATGGTTTAATTCCTAGAAATTTTTAATTAAGTTTATTGATATATTAAGAGATATATATCTAGTTTAAAAAATTCTTTAAACATTGAATTACTTTTCAACCTGACTTGTTTGCAAACACATATATGTACATAAAAACCAAATTCATAAATTAGGTTGGATGTAACACCACACACGTATCAAAATAGCTGACCCTATATCTCTCAGATCAAATTTCTATCAGCATGAAAATATACCAACAACCTGCCAAATATACCAGCATGAAAATATACCAACTTCGATCAACAACATACTTATCAAAAATGCAAATATGATAAGCACCTCCAACTGCAAATATGTGTCTAAAAATAACTGATGCCCTTATAATAAAAAAGCAAAAAACCCTTAGCAATATCAACTATGAACACAGCCATAATGCTCTAGTTGTATTCAAGAATTAAAAATATGTCTACCATTCAACAATTTTTCAGACTGTTTACAAAAGCACATGCAAACATTTTTTACAATAGGACAACTAAAATCTTTGAAAATGTCTAATAGATTAGCTGAAAGTGCTTGGAATTGAACAATCATTTGGACATTCCCATACACACTAAGTGCCAAAAAGAAATCTTGTTTGCATACAAGAAAAATATAAACATATATTAGAGAAGCATTGCTGTCCAAATATACAAGTGTGTGTGTGTATATATATATATATATATATATATATATATATATATATATATATATATATATATATATATATATATATATATATATATATGCAGCATATCTTCATCATTGAAACATTTTTCTTCAAATAATATAGACATATTATGTCTATTTTTATAATAATCCTTTCTAGTTCTCTAATTATCTTTTTGATGTTAAGTAAGATGAAATTCATCAAGGAAGGTGCTGTATTTTTTATTAACCCAAGTACTTTTGATCTCCTCTGAGATCATATTCAGGGGTGGATTGTGAAGACAAACTAGATGTAACTGTGAATGTGCTCTGTTATAATTATTTTAAAATTAACCATTGCAGTTATGGTGTTTCTTTTGTAAACCAGCATCTACTAATATATATATATATATATATATATATATATATATATATATATATATATATACACACACACACACACACACACACTGGGTGCAATAGGTAAATTGTTGCCATTATATATTTTTAATTTCACACATGTATGTTGTTTGTTTTGATTTTGTTGACTGCTACAGTATATTACGGTCAGTTGGGCACTGTCTATGAGAAAAAGAGCACCATGATGCAATTCACTACACCAGAAATTTGGAAACAGTATGTTGTACTCTTAGCATTCACACTGGAAGATCCAATACAAACATTTCAGAGAATTTGGCTGTCAATCTGAGAACAGTGCAGAGGATTCAGAAAGAGTTGGATGATATATCCAGTCATCAAGGTGTTTGGAGTGATCACTAGTGATGGCAATGTTATGCCTCCATTATCTTCCCACAGGGCAGGAGATAGTGCTATCCTGGGTCAAGAAGGTGGCTGCCGGAAGACCTTATGTCTGGCAACAGGAACCTCCACACACAAGCAGGAGAACCCAATCATGGCTGTCGGACAATTGTTGCGACTACATCACCCCTTACATCTGGCTACCTAATCCCCTTAATTATTATTGGGGGGGGGTGAACAAGAGACCAACAAAACTCCTTGTAACACCAAAGATGAACTGAAGGCCAGGATTGTGGCAGTATTCACCAACTTAAACAAGGAAACTGTCCAGAAGAGTTGCAGGTGATTCTGAAGTTGTCTGGAGGGCGTGGTTGAGGTCAATGATGATTTTATTGAATAAATTTATCTTGAAATTCTAATTTCAAGATATTTTTGTGTAATTTTGTTAAATATTTATTTTAAAATGAAATGTCAGTGTTATTTTCATTTTTGAGTAATTTAGATGACAATTTATCTATTTCACCCTGTGTGTGTGTGTGTGTATATATATATATATATATATATATCTCTCCCTCTATATACTAACAAAATAACATTATTTTGTTACCTATTTACAGCCTTTTATGTATAGTAATTTTCAAAATGAATGTTTGTATATCTTGGAGGCTCCTCAAATCTGTCTGTCTTTTTTCCCCATGTTTTTCAAAAGAAATGCATCAATATTCTGACAGTTTGAAATAATTTCCTTTCTTTTGATTATTAAACCATTTATGTTTTTTAATTCTATGAGCTTCAGTTTCTCATCTAGACATAGATAACAATTTCTTCCTCTCTTTCACAATCCTTTTCTATTACATTATATTCAACTAAAGGTGTTTTCTCTTCCATTTTTAGTTCCTGTTAGACCAGGCTTACAGGCTGGTTTTCTTATGATCACTGAAGTTAAGCAACACTGAATCTGGTCAGTACCTAGATGGGTGACCACTTGGGAATACCAGGTGCTGTAAGCTTGGATGTGTGGGTAGTGTAATGGACAACAGCTCAGAATTGAAAATCAGAGAGCCAAGTTTAAATTCTAGCCTTCCCTGAAACCTTCCCACCCCAACTACTGGATAATTAGTAAATCATTATTATCTGTAAAAGAATTCTTCCAAACTAAAAAATATTTTCTGACTTTAAATAACCTACAAAAGTTTGATAGACTTTCAATGAAACGGTTTTCCATTTATCATATTTCTTCAAAACTCTGTTGGGATTCTATACCCTATTTTACAAACACACACACACACACATATATATATATACATTCATACATTTGATCTGACATGCTATACCATTTAACTACAGAGAAGTGTCTTGTTAGCAAAATCCAAATTACTGTTTATAAACACAATCTTCAATGATCGATCACATCTGCTCAAGAAACATTTCATTAATGATTATAATTAAAATAAAAAAAATGAAATTAATTGTAGTTTTCTAAAAAGAAATAAAAATCAAAATCCAGTTTTAATTGTAGGTTAAAATAAAAGAAACCCAGTTTTAATTGTAGGTTAAAACAAAAGTATCTAGTAATAATTGTAGACTAAAACAAAAATATCTAGTAATAATTGTAGACTAAAACAAAAATATCTAGTAATAATTGTAGACCAAAAACAAAAATATCCTAATAATTGTAAACAAAAATATCTAGTAATAATTGTAGACTAAAACAAAAAGTATCTAGTAATAATTGTAGGTATCTAAAACAAAAAAAAGTATCTAGTAATAAAACAAAAATATCTAGTAATAATTTAGATCAAAACAAAAGTATCTAGTAATAATTGTACTAAAACAAAAGTAAAAAATTGTAGGCTAAAACAAAAGTATCTAGTAATAATTGTAGGCTAAAACAAAAGTATCTAGTAATAATTGTAGGCTAAAACAAAAGTATCTAGTAATAATTGTAGGCTAAAACAAAAATATCTAGTAATAATTGTAGGCTAAAACAAAAATATCTAGTAATAATTATAGGTATCTAGTTAAAACAAAAAATCTAATAATTGGATTCTATTATAGGTTAAAACTAAAAAATTGTAGGCTAAAACAAAAAATCATCATTAATTGGGAAAACAAAAAATTAATTATAGGTTTTTATATCTAAAAAATGAATGCTACTATCACATTTTTGGGGACAGCGGACTTTAATTGGTTAAATGCCTTTCTAACTTTATTTTCCCCAAATGATAATTTTTGCAGTATGATTAAGATAGCATTTGTTTCTCCAATCAATACCTGTAGTCTTTTTAAACTATGATAACCATACTTTAACCAACTAACACTAAACCTAACCTAGCTTCTTTTTTTTTTTTTTTTTTCTTTTCTCTTTTGAATTTTGCCTTTAAATGTTTTTTTCTTGACAAAGTTATAGACCTTTTAATCGGAATGTTCAAGTCATTTTTACAATCAATGACTATCAACTAAGAACTGTGGATAATATATATAAAAAAAATGTTGTTTGTCATGTTTTTGTTTCACTTGCCAATTGCACTTGAGTCTTTTTTAACATAGTTTCAATTAATAGATTGAAGTTAGCAAGTTAAAAAAGTTTCTGAATCATTTTCCACAGTCGCTTTCAAATTTTTATCACAAGTTGATGTCTTTGATCAACATCTCTCTGATGATTTTCAAAACTAAAATCTTCATTTTAAAATTTGTTTAACATTGAAATTTTGCTATTTTTCAACCTACTGTGCTGTCCTGAAATACAGAATTGATAAATTAATGGTATAGGATGAATTGAAGCAACAGAATTGTGGTTCTACAGAAGGATGCTGAGAATACCATAGATGGAACATGTGAGCTAAGAGGAAGCTTCAAGTAAAATGAAAACAGAAAGATGCTTATACTTAGAAACAGAAAGTGATAGTTGAAATTTCTAGGACACACAATGATAAAAAAAAGGGTTTGGCAAATTTGTCACTCACAAGACATATTGAAGGCAAAAGAGGTATATGGAAACAGCAAGTAACTTACCTAATAAGATTGTGTAGATGGATGGCATAACAGGGATTCAGATGTATAGTAAGACGATAAACATTGATTAGAGCTACAAAGGATAGGAAGTTGTAGAGAGCCATGATTGCCCATGTCATAAAAGGACACTGCAAATAAAATAAATATATATATATATATATATATATATATATATACATACACACACACATAGTGGCATCCTACTGCTGTGCATGAATGATTTTTAAAAGTATAAAGGCTTAGCAAACTGGTTGTTGGATTATCTGAGAATAATCTTGCATATTAATAGCTGATGGTCTAGGTAAAATGTTAGTTGCACTACACTCATGCATGTATAGTGACACCCTACCACAACAATAATGATTTCTTTGATTATATTGAAAGCATAATGAGAAATTAACATAAACATGTTGTACCCGAAACTATCCAAAGAGCCAAAAATATAATTAATACCATTGATGTAAGTTCTGTGGAGACTGAAAAAGGGTTTCCCTTGATGAACAGAATTTATTCTGACAAAAGTACAAGTTAAAAATGTGGCAAATTTTCTAGTCATAAATTTGATAGTTCTTCCATTGGATCTTTGGGACTGCAGTGATTCACTTCAAATGTGACTAAGAAACCATAACACAACTGATGAAAACTAGAGTTGAAAAGCATCATACTCCTGAACAGAAATATGATGAGAACAGAATTTCAATCTGGAAATATATGAATAAATGTTTTCTATTATCAAAATGGTTTAATTCTTTTTGATATACTATAAAGTGATTTGTTTCCATTCTCATTTGGAAAAGAAAATTAGTAGAATAGGTTCCTAAAGATGACTTGCCTTTATAGAACCAGTTCCTGGAAAATTTGTGATGTCACCACTAATATACAGAGCAACCTTGATTCTCGAATGTCTCATATGTTGAACAAATCAATTTTCAAATAGAAAATTTGAGATAAAAATGCCTTGGTTATCGAACAAAATTTCGGTTCTCAAACAACATTGCTGAACTGGGTTAAACTGAACAGGATAACTTCTGAGTCGACCACCATGTTATATACATTTATGTGTTGAGCTGTGCTTTTCTTTTCCAATTGTACTGTGTCTTTTCTTTTTTTTTTTTTTCTCTACATTGATTCCTATTAAAAAAAATAGTTTTGGTTTACAAACATTTTGTGTTACGAATAGCCTTCAGGGACAAATTAAATTCATGAACTGAGGATCCACTGTGTATGTATGTATGTGTGTGTATATATATATATATATATATATATATATATATATATATATATATAATGATATTATTTGGTAATCAGTATGGATAATTCCAAAGAGGATATAGATCCAGAGAGCTCAATGTAAAAACAGAGCAAATAAATAAAAGTAGAGCATTTTTCAACATAACTTATGCTTAGATTATTGTTTTTGTGCCTGGAAAAAGTTTTTATCCTTTTATTTGTGCGAAGATATTCGGTCTGATGAGTTAGAACTGAAATATCAGTTCTAATGAAATAAAATATCACCATGACCTTTTAAAGTTTTCATTTTCTTAATAATTATATATATATATATATATATATATATATATATATATATGAAATATATCATTATTTTTCTGCATGTATGCTGGATATGTACTTATTTTACTAAATGGTGTAAAGTTTTGCTTTGAATTTTGTGGTTAGCTTCTTCCACTGAAACTTCCTTTTTGCAAACAATGGCACGGATATTGAATCAGTTACATTAACTCATTCTGGTTTAGTTTGATAAGTGTGAAGCTTTTATGATCACGTTACACCAATAGAAAGACTCAAGTAGCTGCCCCTACTGTGATATTCACTTGAATGCAGTTAGTACCTGGCACAGTCTGGATACCCTGCAATTAGTCTATTTATGTTACCAGTTAACATTTCTTTGTTATTAAAAAACAACATGACCCCATTAGTTGGTTCAGAGTGTTATAAAGTAAAAATAGTCTCAGTGTTCTATTCAGCAGGTAGTCTGTTTTAGTTTTCATCAATGATTGAGATTTTAAGTCAATCTGTCCAAGACGTGATGCAAAGATCACAAAGATCTCAAATAATTGTCAAGGAAAAATAAAGTGCCAAAGATATAAACTTAACTATTGTGCTCATTTTATAAACTTGTTTTAATTTCACTTTCTAGATTTTCACATATGTTCTCTTATTAAGACTTCTGCAGCTGTAGGCATACTTAAACATGTTTAAAAAACATTGCTTACAACTGATATATATATATGATTAAATGAAAGATGGTCCACATGTGCTTTTATAATGTGTGGATTTAATAGGCCAGTTAATGAAATTTGAGGAATAAAATGGGCAATAATAATGGGCATGTCAAAAAATTTTGATTTGAAAATCTTACTCTTCGTGCTTCAATTTAGTCAAAAGGCTAATATATAATAAATATCATCAATCTTATCACCACTATTGTTCTCATTTTTGTTGTCTTTTTATTCCTCAAATCTCATTAACCGCCTATTGAGTCTCTCTCTCTCTCTCTCTCTCTATCTATATATATATATATATATATATATATATATATATATATATATGTATCCTGAAGAGGTTACAAACAGACAAAGGTGGTACTGAAAGAAGGAGCAGCAATACATGTGTAGATGAAATAAGAGAGATTTATTGCAAAAGAGAATACTCTACTGAAAGACAGGGAATCGGGTGGCAGGCTAGTAATTCCCAAAGCAAGTCCCTAGCTATATCCTGTGCTCATTATATATATCTACTGATATAGTCAGTCCACATAGGTGATAGGGAGTGTGGGACATTCCATCACAGTGTGTGTGCATATATATATATATATATATATATATATATATATATATAGTAAGAATAAAAGCTAAAGCTTAAAATATAAAATAAATTGATGGCTCAATGACGAAATCAACAGAGCCTAAAGATAAAGAATTTCCAGATTTGATTGTGATAGAAATTGCAGTAAGTATTCTGAAACATCTGTT